GTTTCCGGACATTACGCTCTCCAGCTGAATTTGCAGTTTAGAATAATGGCAAGGCAAGGCATATGCATTAGTTTAGCATAGTTCAAGCTCAAACAAGGCAACTCAAAGTGTTAAAACAAGAAGCGAAAATGAGGCTTCACCATCATGAATAATCAAAGTATATTTAAATGATGCTGTCAGAGAAGAAGCCTGTCTCACATTTCCAGGAAGACTGTTCCATATTTTAGCTGCACAAATCTGAAACGCTGCGTTTTCATAGTTAGTCCTGACTCTGGGCACCAGCAGGAGTCCAGTCCCTGTGCTCCTCAGAGTCCGGGCTGGTTCATATGGGACTAACATGTCACTAATATACTTCGGTGCGAGGCCATGGAGAGACTTGTACACAAGCAAAGCTGTTTTAAAGTCTATTCTCTGAGCCACAAGAAGCCAGTGCAGAGACCTGAGGACTGGACTAATGTGGTCGTACTTCCTGGTTCTGATCAGGACTCATGCTGCAGCATTTTGAATAAACTACAGCTGTTTTACAACTCAAGTTTCTTTATTAAAGTTAAGATACTTTACTGTCCCCATAGGGCAGTTCATTATAATGTTTTTAATGTGTCAGTCTCCAATATCGAGCCGTGTCCACTTTTTTGAAAAAAACTAGATTCAAAATATCAACTTAAAATATACTCTCCTTAAAGACAGACGTGCAAACTTGTTTAATTTATTTCTTTGTGTTTGATCATAATAGAAAATGAATATGTATTTAATTATGACATTAAATTATCACTAGATCATCACTATAGCAGGTACAACCACACTGTATGATATATTGATATTGTTCATGCTGACAACACCACCACAGATGCTGCAGAGTTCTCTATATTCTGAAGGACACACCGGCCAAGAGAGAGAGAACAATTCAACATTTTGAAGTATATAGAAAGCGTTTTGATATTTGCTTATATTGTTTGGGAAATAGTGCACTTGAATCAGTAAAAAGCCGTTTTGTGATCAACGTGCCAAGGCCCCTGCTTCAACAACATCGTCCGTAACACTCTCAGACAAAACCAAAAGCGTATTCAACCGGCTTTCCTGTGATGTCTGAGTGAGCAGGAGCCAAATCGACTTAGTCTCTTTCATTTTTCTGCGATCGCACGAGGAGGAAGGAAGTTCTGAGGCTATGCAAATTGAAAGAGAATAAGCACCGACGATAAGAGCAAAACAATAACTTAGTAGACAGCTATTTTGACACAGATTTTCTCCGCGCCACTTTATGAGAGGGGATTGGATAAAGTTGCTGTGTTCTTGTTTATGAGCTTGTCGAAGGCTTTTTTTATAGGGCAAAAAAACTCCATTCATATCTGGGCAGTGTGTGTGTCAGCCTGAGGGGCCGACCGTGTTCCCATCTTCACTTCCTCTGTCAGCAGACGCAGCCTCACAGAACTCCCACTGTACGGAGCCGGGAACAGGCGATGACAGGGCACTAGCACAACGTTAAATAACCCGGGGCTTAACATTATGGAGTCAGTATATTGTGACATAATTGTGGATGTGTTTATTTTTTTTATTTTTTTTTTAACGAAGGCATCACAAGCCAACTCACTGATAAGGTTTTCATTCATACGTTTGAAGCCACAGTGTCAAATGTAAAATAATGTGTTTTTTTGTTAATATAATCAAAAACAAATCTAATAAAACCAATGGAAATTCAATTCAATGCATATCAATGTAGTTTTGTTTAGCCCTACATCACAACAGCAGTGTCTTGGAAGACTTTACAAAGCTCAGAGAATGAAAGAGTTTGAACACAGACAATGTATAAGTAAAGGACTTAAAAAAGCAGGAGCCATTGGTCCATAGAGAGTGGGATGAAGAAGGTCCACTGCATATTGGTCAGACATGTTAATAAATGTCAATAACCCTTTAATCTTCACAAGTTCACAAACAACGCAAATTCTGTCTTTCTTGTCTGTGTATGTGAAAGCCTGGGTGTGGCTTTGGGCTTGTCTGTCTATTGCTATTAGTGCTAGAGTGTGTGTGTGTGTGTGTGTGTGCGTGTGTGTGCGTGTGTGTCATTGACTGTTATGTGTTTTGTTGAAGGGCATTGTAGGGTTCTGAATATTGTTTTTCTACTGTATTGTGGTATGTCTCTGAATCGATGGGGGTGGATTGTATTAATACAGTAACCACACTCTGGGAACGCCAAGTGCTACGGTTTCAATAATAAGTGCAAACTGATAATTTTCAGGCTGATAACATCTTGTGGAAAGAAGCGATTATACTAACTTGAAGATGTTCTGCATCCTGGTGAACGAGGGAAGAAGCTGTAACATGGCTTTTCCAGGGCCCATAAGAGTCATTGGTTATTTTTAAGAGCTCCATTTTTAAGAGTGTGGATTCATAAAGAACTTCAAGAACAGACTCAGGAGAGAGCATTTTCTCCAACTGGGCTTTTAGTGTTTCTGGAGGGTCCAAGGACAGTGGTGATGATCCGGCTTTTGCAATATCCTCTGAGATAACTACTGTTGTGATTTAGGGCTATACAAAAAATTAATAATTGGAGTTGAGATCCACTCCCTCAGATCGACGGGCTGTAAATTTGTCCAGAACGGATGCAAATTCAATAAGAAATAGTTTTCATAATTCAATTCAACTTTTTAACAGACTCAGTTATGACTTTAGAGACAGCCATACCACTGTCATATTTTTATGGAAACATTTTCGCTGCCATCACAACATGAAAGAACGGTTCCCTACTTTTGCCCACACAACTCAAACAAGTAACTTTAAGCTCGACAAATTTGAGAAGTTTTTGCTCTCTTTGAAGATAATCTCTACATGTTTACAGTAATGGGGATTAAGCCAGCAGCATCCACACTTAACCTGGGGCAATTTTACATGCCTTTTGTTAGCGTTCTTTAATGTCGCATAGAGCCATGAATATATTTCCACACATTTCTTCACCTACAGATCCCTTTGAAAAGATTGACTCAAACTGGCGAATGACAGCCCCTTTCATACATGAACGCAGACGCTGATTTATACATATTTAAATTGAATGTACATCATAGCTCTCCATACCGTGGTTAGCTCACACAGGAAGCCATAGGGGGAGGTGTTAGCGAATGTCTGATATATGGATACACCAATTTACATATTTTTCTAATTTCCACTTGCTAATCAGTATTCATTAATTCATCTGGTTGGTTAAACAGGCTGTTGATGAGAAATGTAATGCAAGTTGTTTTCAGAGCGATTCATGCATGTTGGATTAATCTATATTTTTTTACAACTAGCATCACTACCCCCATGGCTCTTCTGACCGCTGCGGCACATCCGGTATTTTCACTGTCTCAGGTCTCGTTCTGCAGCCGTCCCTCTCATGCTGCTAACACAAAACTATATATTGCAATCGAGTGCTTTTTGTCCTAATCTGAGTAGCAAATTTAGCCATCTAGTCTTATTTTAAGAACTGTTGCTTTATTTTCTCATTCTAAGGGAGTAATTTCTTGTATATTTTTGAATCAAGGCAGTCAAAATGTGCTCAAGTTAGGATAACTTGTTTTCAAATATGAGATTTTTTGTCCTTATTTTTCATCACATTTTGCATAAAGGAGAGGCTTGATATCTCCCTCTCCCTGTAAACATTCTGTTGTGTATTAGATCCACATTGTAATTTGAATTCAGAAGTAACATTTGAACAATATTTTAATTTCTGAGTTTATAATATTGTATTGGATTGTGTTATATTTACATAATCTGCTAATAATCCATGGGTGTTATAGTCTCTCACAACCATCTGACAAAAAATCTCAATAAACAGTTTGTTTTTATTTTATTTATTCTATATGAAGAAATGCATTGGTTATTTGAATCTTAAACAATTGCAAACCCTGTTTAACATAACTTGAAGTATCGCAAAAAGGCTGAATGTGTGTTGAAGTAACACACAGTAAACAGAGTGTTGCTATGGTAACTGGCACTTTCTCCAAGATGAGATTTCTGAGAATCAGGACCAGTCCAGAATCAGTAGAAGACCGGTACAGAACAAGACCAGTTCCAGTTTAGAACCAGTCCAGGACCAGTGCAGAACCAGTCCAGGACCAATACAGAATGAGTCCAGTATAAGTCCAGGATCAGTTCAGAACCAGACCAGTACCAGTTTAGTACCAGTCCAGGACCAATAAAGAACCAGTCCAGTACCAGTATAGAATCAGTCCAGTATAAGTCCAAGACCAGTCCAGAACTAGTCCAGAACCAGTACAGGGTCAGTCCAGTACCAGCACCTTGAGAAAAATTGTGTTACAGGGTATTGCTCCCATTTCAATAAATAAAAAAACATGAATGTAGTAAAATAAATAATTGATATATAAATAAACTGCATCAAACGCATACAAATTTATGAAGACCCAAAATGTATCAATAAATAAATAAATACAGTTTTGCCCTGATGTGTAATGCAGTAAACACAACCTTAGCCACATCCTCCCATTTGTTCTGTAGAGTTAAAAACAGAATCCATACTACTGCACGTGTCAGAAGACATAAAACATTTAATTTCCTTATCTAAAATTGGTTGTGAGAGACTGACACACAAAATATTATTCTTACAACACACTGGCAACTTCAAAAATACAAGTGGCATTTCTCCGTCGTCAAACTGCTCAGATGTCTCTCATTGTTTTATGGCAATTTGATATTTTCTTGGAAGTAAGGTTCAATTTAATGTCTAAGGAATTGTTTAAGACATGAAAGCCTGGCGAGTCTGGAGTCATACAAGCAAGAAATGTTGGACGAAAAGCTTTCAAATTGCCCAGAAAAATCCGTCCGCTGCTGTGAATACACTGTTCAGAAAAGCTTTTGGTTAATTGCTTCTCTTTTGCACTTTGGGAGGATTTCACTATTTATTTAAGGCATCCTCTTGTGTTTTCTCATGTGAGTCAGACCTCTTGTTTATGTAGAACGTCAATAGCCAACGGCTGCATAAAACCCTGACATTCTCTTTTCTTTTGCAGATGGGAAATGCCTCTGAAACATTTATCCTCGTGTCCCGAATATCAAAAGACAATGACTTCCTCATGGGGACCATTTACATTGTTTTTGGTGAGTGACATTTTATAACAATAATAATAACCGTGTTTTGGCTTGTGGGCGAAAGCTTTGAATTCAATTTGTATCCTAATGCTTAAAACTACATGTGTCAGTGGATCAGGCATGACATCTCTTTTCATTATTTTAGGAAATACACAAGGAATTTATCAAATGGAGTGATAAAAAACACTCGGAATATGATATTGGCAAATACCTCACCCTTTACACTGCTCTTCTATAACTATATATCATTTGTAACTTTTTTCATGTTTTACTTTATTAGCTATGGATCCTGTGCCTGATTATGAGTCCTCAATACAGTCTAAAACAACAGAAAGACACAAATACATACAAGACAATCAAGACAAGATACATGTATTTCTTAAAGGAGCAGTACGTATAAATCTGGTGGTACTAAGGTACTGCACTCTCCCTGACTCAGGTTGCCAGATATGCCGACAAATCCAGCTGGGACCATAATATCTGAATAGACAAGAGTTTTGTCAACAACCAGTCTATGAATTCTGGCAGCCCGGATCACGGACTTTCTGATTAGTAAAACGGTGGAGGGCGGGACATCGAAGGGAAAACAATAACAGGATTTAGGGGCTGTAAGACTAATTTTGAAATTTGAATGTCTCGGCTGAACTACTGAAAAAAGTGTTGGAAAAGAGCATGGTTTTATAATGCCTTTTGACAGATTAGGGCCATTTAATGATGACTTGACATGAAAATCTTACATATTGCTACTTTAAATGGAATGATTAAAAGTTGACTTGAAATACTTTTCTTTTTTTTTATCAAGCTAGATGTATTATTACTATATAAGATATTTCTCTGTAAAGAGATGCCCTCCATCCATCCATTTTCTTCCTCTTAATCCATTTCTGGGTTGGGGGGGTGGCCAGAGATGCCACCCAGTACACAGAGCATCAGCCCCTCACTGATCCGCCTGCAGGTGGTGAGTCCACAGGAGCCTTGATCTTTCAGCGGGGGCTTCAGGCAAAGTGGGGTCAAGTGTCTTGCCCAAGGACACAACGACAGCAGTTATCAGTAGGAGTCAGTGGAGAAGGTCTTATGGTGGGCTTGAACCCACAACCTTCAGGCTCAAAGGCCAATGCCCTACCAACTGAGCCACTGTCGCCCCTTAAGTATGACAGTGGCAAATCTTGTTTCAATTCATACCAGAAAATCAATCAAAAATGTATTATCTATATTAAATAAAAGAGATAGGCAATTTCTCAAATGGAATGATAAAAAAGCTTAAATTATGATATTGTAATAAACTGGTTTAAATACATAAAAGAAAACTCAAGCAAAATTGCATTAATATTTCTATATGAAGAGACAATCAATTCCGTTGTAATAATAAAAAGTGGACTTGGAAATTGATATTGGCAAATCTTGTTTAAACACATACAAAAAAAATCAAGCTAAAATGTGCAAGAACATACTATTTCTATTATGTTTTTCTTCCGTGGATGTTGCTATACCAAAATCTTCAAAAATCTGTTATCTAGTTCTTCACCAAAACTTGCTTATATGAAAAAGGTGTGAAAGTGATTGTTATTCAGCTGCTCGGATCGGCAACCTCCCGATCCTCCACAGGGGAACTGTAGCTACAAAGAAGTACCTACCAAAGAAGAAGAAGGCAGTGAATTAATGATACTGGGAAGCACATTATAATTAAAATATACCAAACTGGAGCAGGCCTAAAACCACCTCTTTATGCAGTTTCTAAACCCCTGTGATATAAACTTGGTGTGCCAATTGTTGCACTGGGGCTTGATGTTGTATATCATTAATAATAATATACAATAATAATAATGCATTGGTTTAATATTGTGCTTTTTCGGACACTCAAAGACGCTTCACATGTCATTATTCATTCACTCCATACACGGTGGTAAAAAACTACTACTGTAGCCACTCACTACTACTGTAGCAGGGCAACCAGTGAGTGCCATCGGCCCCTCCCACCACCACAAACCATTGACGCAAACATCATACTCATTCTAGGCAATGTGGGTGAAGTGCTTTGCCTAAGGTCACAACAACAGTTTAGCACTTTACGGCCACCCCACTGTGGCACCTGGTGTTTCCAGAGGTCTCCCATCAAAGTACCTAGGAGGTTCTGCCCTGCTTAGCTTCAGAGGTCTTCCAGGATCTGGCTTTAATATACAGGTATAAGATGCAGAGGTTGTGAATCCATCCCAAAGTGGAGACATCTCATGTAATACTACATCTAAACCAAGCACTAAAACACACACACACACACACACACACATAGTAATTGTTTGTCAGTGTGCGTGGCTTTCCTCTGGCTGTTGCTGATGCATTCTTTGGCTCTGCCCTTAGGCGTTCTGTCCATGCTGGGGAACGGCACGCTGCTGTTTGTGGCTTATAGAAAGAAGTCCACCCTGAAGCCGGCCGAGTTCTTCGTGGTGAATCTGGCCATCAGTGACCTGGGAATGACCATCACCCTGTTTCCTCTGGCCATCCCCTCGGCCTTCGCCCACATGTGAGTCCCATGCACGCCCTCCCGGCTCTGCCCCAGGCCGTCGCATTGAAACACACAGAAAGTTGTACCCACTGATAGTTTTTCTTGTATCTTTCTTTGGATTTGTTTTGAGTCTAGACTCGCTGATTCATACAGACACTAGTTTTACTCCTCTTTATATTCATCAAAACAAATCTAGGAAGAAAGTCATTCCTTGCAAATGCAGAAGGGTTTGAGGACAGTGATGATGAATTCACATTTATAGACGGTGGTGATCCCACTCACTATGGACCAATGGTTCCTACATACTTGTTACCATATCTGGTCCAAACTGTTAGATTCTCCCACTGTTGTTGGTATAGAAACATACATTGAACTGAAATAAATAGCTTTTAAACAGATCTCTCAATCAATGATCAAAGAGATCACAGGTGGCTGAATGGTTAGCACTCTCTCTTCTCAGCAAGAAGGTTCTGGTACAAGTCCCGGTTGTAACAGAGTGGAGTTTGCATATTCTCCCAGTGTCTGCGTAGGTTTCCTCTGGGTACTCTGGTTTCCCCTACCACTAAAGACATAGTTTAGGGTGAAAGAGAATGTGTTTGTGAGTGCGAATGTGGGACAACGAATGCAAAATAGCCCATAGCTACTGTCTGGAGTGATGTGTTTATTGACATGTACTATCCCAACCGAATAAACAATAAAAAATTAAAAAAAATCATAAACTTCACTAGCTCCAAAACACAGACAACTGATACAATTAATTCTGTAATCCAACATATTTTAATCCGACATCCGTGACAGGCGCTTGCTGCGGCCTCGTTAGTGCCACCGCATGCGTGTGGTAATATGCGGCATAAAGCACTTTGGAAAGACCTAAAGACCTTGCTTCAAATCCAGCATCATCATTCATAATGGGCTGTCACTCTCGCTCTTCTTGCTCTGATCCCCTGAGTGCACGCTGCTGATTGCTGTCAATTGTGGCGGCGCCGGGTCAAATGCATGGCTGCACTGCTCGCATCAGAGTCGAGGGGATGAGAATGAACAAGCGAATAGTTCTCCTGCTGCTCTCCAACACTATCCACCCACAGGAGTCCATATGAAGTCGCCGTGAATACGTTTTGTACTAACAGTGATGTTAAAGGCAAACACAGTATTCTTACAGATAAACTGTGTCACATTTGTTCAAATACTGAGAGATTTCTCACCTTTTCCCACTGAGTTCCTTAGTTTTTGTCCTTGTGGATGAAGGCGGGTCTGACATAAGGACAGTGGTGAGGATCCAGGATATTCAAAATTCAACATTTATGGACGTTTATTAACATGTATGGACATGGGTCTTCTGCCCCTTATGGACCATTACCAAATTGTTTTCTATCATTGTATTTATTGAGTTTGAACTGTTTCATTCTCTGACCTGTGTTGGCAAATTCAACGTTTGTGTAAAATGTATTCACAAGTCTGAAATGTGAGGGAATGTATTTGTCTTGGCTTCAAAAAAAATCAGGTAGCCATCTTTTGGAAGACCACTTTCTGCTCCTGACAGGCTGCTCTAGTGCTGCTCGTTGCAGGATGGGTCAAATGCAGAGGAGGCATTAATTTCAATTCAAGTTATTTTTGCAAAGCCCTGAATAACCAGTTGTCCATTCACCAACAACAGATAAGAGAATAATATGGTTCAAAATACAATGATAGCAATGGCCCCTATAAGGTGCCATAGGTCCATTGGGAGCAGGATGAGCCATTTTTCTTAATGATAATAAATGGTAATAAATGTCTAATATCCTCACTCTGCCTGCGTCGGCAAGGATCTTCTCAAAAAAAAAGACAGAAAAGGAAAAAACGTGGGAAAAAAAGGGAAAAACTTTGGAGAGGCCATTGGGATCCATTTCCACGGAGGGTCAGGCTGTAGAATGAGGACTGAGGCTGGGAAGGGGAAGCCCACGGGTCCGGCTCAGGGAGACAGGGAGACCAGTCCACAGAGAGGTAGACAGTTTTCGGCAAACCGTAAAGCAGGGGTCTCCAACATTTTTCAATCGGAGACAATACAACAGAAGAGGCAGAAAACTATTATTTTTGCAGTTATGAAATAAAAATCTAAGTTATGATTATGACAAAACATGGCAAACACATGTAAAATATGCCATAATACTGCTATATCTATGCATTCAAATCATGTGTTAAATTCAAATTCTTCTACGCAGCTACCTGAAGGGGGCTGGCAAGCTACTGGTAGTTCCCGAGCTACAGATAGGAGACCCTGGCCTAAAAGTTTACCTTATTCATTATCTCTGTAAAAGTGCAGAATGACGTGAGTAAGTAAGAAGACCACAGGTGCCACAGGTGAGGGGACAACGATTGCCAGCTCCCATGAAAATAACAGTATGTAATGACCTTTGATATTCACTGATGGCAGCTTTAAACGGCGTGTCACTTTCTTAATATGGAGACCGAGAACAGAGCTGCAGGCAGTAGACCCACCCGTCCTTCTTCCTGAATGAACAAAATGAAATACACCCTTGGGGAGTAGGCCCGTTTATTGGCTTGACTATGTGGCCCCATGAATCTTATTGGCTGTAGTGATGCCAAGGGGACTGACTGAATAAATGATTTGATTTATAAAAACTCTCTTTGAATGATAGACAGAGCCAGATTGACAAAACTATTACATCTTTAAAATGAAATATAAGCGTCATAAATCAGCCATCATAAAGTATGAAGGACACATATGGACAAAGAGGCAATGACTGCTGCTGTTGGATTCACTATTTTGGTTATTTTTGGATTTCAAGCCTTCTGTAGTTGAAGTCTTTGTCAGTGAATATGTGAAGACCCGCCCCTCACTCCTGATTGGCTATGAGACAGATACATTACTCTAAATATGGATGCCATGGATGCAGATTTTTCTTTGTGCAGTGAAGGCAAAACTTCACTATCTATGGACAACTTCACACTCAGTCTATTCATTATTCTACCATTTTCTTTCTCTTAATCCATTGCCAAGTTGCAGGGGCAGCAGTCTAAGCAGAAACGCCCAGACTTTACTATCCTCGCACACTTCCTCCATCTCATCCAGGAGAATATCAAGGCATCCCCAAGTCAGACTCCTCCAGTGTGTCTTGAATCTTTCCCAGAGTCTCCTCCCAGTGGGACACGCCCAGAACAGCAGCTCTACTCTGAGCTCCTCCTGTGGGATCGTATGTCTCAGTCTTTTGTAATACACTGGCTTAATATATATCTTTTGGAATCAGTTCGTTTTTGTAGTTGTAGTTGAGGCGGCATGGTGGCACAGTGGCTAGTACTTATACCTCACTGCAAGAAGGTTCTGGGATCAATTCCACCTAAAGGCCTTTCTATGTGGAGTTTGTAGAAATGGGGAGAACATGCAACAATTTCCTCCAAGTACTCTGGTTTCCCCCACCCAAAAACATGTACACTAGCTACACTATTGTATTTCTGTGTGGAGTGAGAGGATGTATGGATAAATAAATACAATTGATAAAGATATAGAGATATAAAGAGTGAGGAGGAGAGATAGAGAAAGCGCTTTGTGACTGCTCTGTGGAAAGCTCTACATAAATTCATATTATTTAAATGTTTTCTGTTTGTTTTGTGGATCGCATTGTGAGTGTATTAATCATTTGCTGTTTTTGCCTGAGGCTGAGTCTTTGATGTGTTTCTCTTCTCTGTTTCAGGTGGCTGTTCAACAGAATCACCTGCACTATCTATGCCTTCTGTGGCGTTCTGTTTGGCCTCTGCAGTCTGACCAACCTCACGGTGCTGTCCAGTGTGTGCTGGCTCAAGGTCTGCTGCCCTAACTACGGTAAGAGCCCGCCCTCCTGCCTCCACAAACTCCTACTGAGAGGCGCTTGTAAATAGAGAGGGAAGCCTTAATGGCCATCTCTTTTAAACCTGCCCTGGAGCTGTATGTATGTGTGGCTGCTGTCTCACAGTAGTCCTTTGCGCAGCAATTTACCAAAGCTAACAAGTTCTAAGGGGCGGGGGATAGGCTGAGGAGGAGAAGGGAGGGGGGGATCAAAAAAAGGGCACCAGGGGCGTTTTTCAGGGGCTGCTAGCCAGGACTGGGTTACTTCAGGCTCCACCACCACCACACATTCCCAAATGGCTCCCCCGGGGCCCACTCCTTTTATCCCCCCACCGGGGACACCCCCCACTACCCCCCCCCAATTCACCATCCGCGGGCGCTTTGTTTTCCGTGACTTCTGTCTTGCCCTCTCCCAGTAGTGGGGGGTCACTATTTAAAATTTTCATTTGTGTATTTGCCACAAAAACTATTTGAAAAAAAAAAAAATAAAAAAAAAAAAAAAAAAAAAAAATTACAAAAAAATTTAAAAAAACCTAAGTTAAAACAAACTCTGCCAGAGTGTGTTCTTTTTGGGTCCACTTTGGCCGGGTCCCAAGGGCCCGGAGTTTAAAAAGGAGGAGGGGTTGGTGTAGAGGCTAGGGGAAAATATTCAACCCCCTACAATACAAACCCCAATCTTTGGGATTAACATTTGGCTGTTATTAACATTTAACCCCAAATTTTAACAGGGGGGGACCAACAAAAAAAAAAATAAAAATGATTGTGTTTATTGTTGGGAATCTAGGAGACAAAAAGGCATTAAAAAAAAATTTCATTAAATGTGGTTTTTTATGGTGAAAATATAATTTTTTTGTAAATTTTTGTAGTTCTAAAAACATAATTTGGGGTGTTTTTTTTTACTCCATTTTGTTTTCTCTTCCCACGAAAACCTATAATTCTCTTCTCAGCGTCCGTAACAGTTTATTTTGGGCAAAAAAAAATTTTGGCAAATTATTTGCAAAAATTATGGCGACTATGGGACGGGGTCATTATAGGGGCGGGATCTTCTAGGGTCAGATCTTTGGGTACAGTGCCAATAGCTACTTTTTTCCTTTCTGAGGAGTTTGGCAAACACTGGCTTGGTTTTAAGGCCAAGAAATGGGAAATGGGGGGATTTGGCAGGAGGGGGAGAGGAGGACTTTGGGGTTTGGTGGTTTGGGAATTGAGAGGTGCAGGGGTCAGAGGGAAAAACCCAGCCGCAGTGGGGAGGGGGCCCATCATTATAATTAGTCGTGGAGGCTGGGCACATTTCCTTGTGGCCACACGATGCTCTTACAGAGGGGAAGAAGCCAGGACCTTTGCTGAAATCTGGGGGGGGACCTGATAAAAAAATAAAAATACAAAAAATAATCAGGGGCAGAGGATTGGCTCCCAGATTTAATTCCAACCCTATTAGTCAAAGGTGGGCAAGACCAGTCAATCTTTGTTGGGGGACACCAATAACAAGCATTATACCCATGTCTTGTGATAATTTCAATTCCATTATTTTTGTTTTTTGGGCGCCGACGTGCTGCGATGAAGCGCGCGACCGCCGACGTGCTGCGATGAAGCGTGCGGCCGCCGACGTGCTGCGATGAAGCGTGCGGCCGCCGACGAGCTGCGATGAAGCGTGCGGCCGCCGACGAGCTGCGATGAAACGTGCAGCCGCCGACGTGCTGCGATGAAGCGTGCGGCCGCCGACGAGCTGCGATGAAGCGTGCGGCCGCCGACGAGCTGCGATGAAGCGTGCGCCGTCGTCAAGGCGTGCGCCGTCGTCAAGGCGTGCGCCGTCATCGAGGCGCGCGCCGTCGTCGAGGCGTGCGGCGGCGTCGTCGAAGCGTGGAGGAGGAGTCGAAGCGTGGAGGAGGAGTCGAAGCGTGGAGGAGGAGTCGAAGCAGAGTCGAAGCGTGGAGGAGGAGTCGAAGCGTGCGGCCACCGACGTGGCGTCGTCGAAGCGTGGGCCCACCCACGTGGCGTCGTCGAAGCGTGGGCCCACCCACGTGGCGTCGAAGCGTGGGGCCACCCATGTGGCGTCGTCGAAGCGTGAGGCCACCCACGTGGCGTCGTCGAAGCGTGGGGCCACCCACGTGGCGTCGTCGAAGCGTGGGGCCACCCACGTGGCGTCGTCGTAGCGTGGGGCCGTCGAAGCGTGGCGTCTTCGAAGCGTGGCGTCGTCGAAGCGTGGCGTCGTCGAAGCGTGGCGTCTTCGAAGCGTGGCGTCGTCGAAGCGTGGCGTCGTCGAAGCGTGGCGTCGTCGAAGCGTGGCGTCGTCAAAGCGTGGCGTCGTCAAAGCGTGGCGTCGTCAAAGCGTGGCGTCGTCAAAGCGTGGGGCCACCCACGTGGGGCCGTCGAAGCGTGGCGTTGAAGCGTGGGGCCGTCGAAGCGTGGCGTCGTCAAAGCGTGGCGTCGTCAAAGCGTGGCGTCGTCAAAGCGTGGCGTCGTCAAAGCGTGGCGTCGTCAAAGCGTGGCGTCGTCAAAGCGTGGCGTCGTCAAAGCGTGGCGTCGTCAAAGCGTGGCGTCGTCAAAGCGTGGCGTCGTCAAAGCGTGGGGCCACCCACGTGGGGCCGTCGAAGCGTGGCGTTGAAGCGTGGGGCCGTCGAAGCGTGGCGTCGTCAAAGCGTGGCGTCGTCAAAGCGTGGCGTCGTCAAAGCGTGGCGTCGTCAAAGCGTGGCGTCGTCGAAGCGTGGCGTCGTCAAAGCGTGGCGTCGTCAAAGCGTGGCGTCGTCAAAGCGTGGCGTCGTCAAAGCGTGGGGCCACCCACGTGGGGCCGTCGAAGCGTGGCGTTGAAGCGTGGGGCCGTTGAAGCGTGGCGTCGTCAAAACGTGGCGTCGTCGAAGCGTGGGGCCGTCGAAGCGTGGGGCCGTCGAAGTGTGGCGTTGAAGTGTGGCGTTGAAGTGTGGCGTTGAAGTGTGGCGTTGAAGTGTGGCGTTGAAGTGTGGCGTTGAAGTGTGGCGTTGAAGTGTGGCGTTGAAGTGTGGCGTAAGGCCAAAGCAATGGGCAAACAAACAGCACAGAGGGGCTCGGCCGCGCTCCGACCAATCAGAGCAGCTCATCAGACACGGACAGCCCAAAAGCAATGCAGTGGGCAAAACTTACAGTCCACGGTCAATTAGACAGAGCGAAGGCCAATGCAGACGACAAATGTTATAGTCCATGGTTACAACTGACAGCCTGAAGGTCAATGCAGTGGGTAAATGTTCAGTCCATAGTAAAACGGACAGCCTGGAGGTCACTGCAGTGTGTAGAATGTTCAGTCCATAGTAAAACGGACAGCCTGGAGGTCACTGCAGTGTGTAGAATGTTCAGTCCATAGTAAAACGGACAGCCTGGAGGTCACTGCAGTGTGTAGAATGTTCAGCCCATGAGTAAAACGGACAGCCAGAAGGCCAACACGTGATTAAAATGTGCGGTCCATGGTGAAAACGGACGGTCTAAATGCCAGTGCAGATGGTAAAATGAACAGCCTGAAGAGCAATGCATCGGGTAAAAACACAGCCTGCGAGCCAATTCGGCGGGAATAACTGACACGCCGCAGTTCAGTACAGTTCATGGTAGTGCGGAAAACAACGAAACCGACACTGTACCGTGAGTGGAGGCATGGAGAAGGGTGGACAGCGCAGGCAGACAACGGCAGGCAGACAACGGCAGGCAGACAACGGCAGGCAGACAGAAGTCCCGTTCCCGGTATGGAAGCGGCAGGGTGCGCGGAGTAACGCCTGGCCGCGAGCAGCAGCGGCCACGGGGAGACGAGCGGCAGCGAGTCCGCAGGAGAGGACCCGCGGTGAGCCGCGGTGGAGACACAGCGACCATGGCGCACAGCCCCCAACATGTGATGTGGAAGAGGAGCCGCGACCATGCAGGACAAACAATGTGTGAGGCGTGAATAAACAAAGTGACGAAGAGCAACCCGTTGCAGCTTGAAGTCCGTTTGGTGAGCTGTGCTCTGCTGTTCTCTTAAACGCTGGCTTGATTGACACGGCTGCGGGGAGTTGATTACAGTGTTGCCAACTCCTCAGTAAGGAAAGTAGCTATTGGCTGTCCCAAAAGTCGCTAGAAGTCGCTAAATGACGTCATCGCCTAATTTGCATAATTTGCTATTTGCAAATAACTGTAAAGGACGCTGTAGGAGAGAGGAATAAGGTCGTGGGAGAGACAAAAGTGAGTAAAAACACCCTAAATATGTTTAGAACTACAAATGTACAAAAATAATTTCAACATTAACAACATTTAATGATTTTAATGCTTTGTCTAGATCCACATTACACACATCAGTTTTGTCCTGTATTGTTAAATGTTATAACAGCAAATGTAATCAAAAGATTGTTATGTAGGGTGAAATTGCTAGCTCTACAACCAACCCTCCTCCTTTATCCGGGCTTGGGACCGGCAAAGTGACCCAAAAGACACACTCTGGCAGAGTTACTTAGGTTTATTTTTGTAAGTTTTTTTTTTTTTCATAGTTTGGCATAACAAATGATTTAATGTGACCCACTACTGAGAGAAAACAGAGTCACGGACAGAGCTGCCGCGGATGGAGTGGGGGGTAGTGGGGGGTGGCGGTGGTAGGAGTGGCCGGGGAGCTTTGGATGTGTGGTGGTGGTGGAGCTGAAGTTCAGTCTGCAGCAGCCTGAAAACTTCCTGTGCTTTTGAGTCTCCTCTCTCTCTCTGCTCCGCCCATAGACTGTAGCTGGGACTGCTGCGCAAGGCTACTGTGAGACTGGCCGCCTGTAAGTGCTTTGGGACGGGGGAGGGGCTCACGTTGAGGACAGTAACTGCAGAACAATACGTGCTTCACGAGTCTCCAAAACACCAGATAAGTCGCCAAAACACCAGATAAGTCGCCAATAACACCAGAAAAAGTCGCTAGATTTGTCGCTAGTCGCTTTTTTGAAAAAAAGTCGCTATAGGGGTCTGAAAAGTTGCTAAATCTAGCGACAAAGTCGCTAAGTTGGCAACACTGGTTGATTAAGACAGGCTGAGTAAGGCGTGGTCAAGCCTGGTGTGATAACGTAGGTAGTCTACCATCCTGAACCTC